TTTTGTAAGCATGGGCTGATCAGTTGACCATGAGATTTCATTTCCCCCAGGAAAATCATGACTGTGAATGGCTGCTGTGTATTTTAGTGCATTATTTTAGTAACTGTCCCAAGGACGTTTTCTATGATGTATCAATAAACGAGAGTTGTGTGCTTAATTGTATGGTGTGATTGCTGAGTGTTTGTAGAATATACTTTCTATGCTTACAAAGCCTTCTATCTTCAGCTTGGGATTCAAGGTAGTAGTTTATTTGGACGCTGGTAATTGTCTCGTTCGCGTTTATCGACTAAGGTGAACTCGTAATCGCTTCAAGCGTACCTATTGACCAACCCTACAGGAGGAACGTCGGAGCACCACACACATCTGAATTAGGATGATTGCTGAGTGGATGGAAGCATGTTGATTATTGATCGTGTAGTTCCTTCTAGAGCACAAAGCTTATTTATTATCTAGTCACTTTCTATTCCTCAATGCGAATTAATCTGTTCCTAGCTTTATTATTAGTAGGGTCATCTCAACGTTATCTCGATCTCAGATTTATATACTAATAAAATTTTGACGATTATATTAAAGGTGATTACAAAATTGTGCGTGTTGGGTAAATAAATCACAAGCGTTAGGAATTCCAGATTGCATTTTCGTGATTATGCTCAGTGGTATGTCAAAGTAGTAATAATGTAGTGAAGGAGAACACAGGTGAGGGCAGTCGAATTGTATGTAACGAAAATTACAGAGTTACTCAGTAAAATAAAAAAACCATATCGTAAATCGTTCATCTGCAAATCTTCAATCAATTATCAGTCCATTGTCTGACATTTCACTTATTCATGCGTTTCATACAAATTCCATTGTGTTCTAACTCTTCCTTTCTTGATCTTCCCCCATCTTCTGCTGCCAGACATTACGTTGACACTCACGTCATATACTACTTATAAGTAGCTCGCACCACACTCGTCCCCCCTTTTAATAAGCTGTCGTCACTTTCAAAACAGGGGCCCTGGTCAGTTAATATCACCTTCCGCATTCCGTGACACGCTACAATATGCCGGATTACCACTTCGGTCATTGTTCTTGCCCGCTGGTCTGGAATGGATACGGCATCTATCCAAAGCGTAGCGTTTACTAGTTCCCACTGCTGGGGCACGGCGGCAGCCACACTCTCGATAAATTGCGACGCCAACAACTGTGCCCCCGAGTCCCCATTCATACTCGGCAGCGCACGGCGCAGCAACATCGTGAGCTCCACAGCCAGCACCAGTGGATCAAAATCGATAGACAACCTAGCCAACCGGAACCTCTGCGGCGCCTCCTCCCTGTCCACTGGGACGACGAACTCCGTCAATATTCGCTCCGTGACCGTCCCCCACGCCGTCTTCCCGGCGGCGCCGTCCAAGCTGTCGTATACAGCCTTTGTCTCAACTCCCCGCAGAGTCGCCGGCACCACCAACTCCGCCGGTGCCCCTTCACACCCACCAGCCCCACCACGACCTCAAACTCCTTCGGCCATGGGAGCTCTTTCCCTCGTGCAGGCAGCGACACCAAATGTAGTGAAGGAGAACATAGGTGAGGGTAACCGAATTGTATTTAACGAAAATTACAGAGTTACTCAGTAAAATAGGAAAACCATATCGTGACCGTTTGCAAATCTTCAATCAATCATCAATCCATTGTCTGACATTTCACTTATTCATGCGTTTCATACGAATTCCATTGTGTTCCCACTCTTCTTCCTTTCTTGATCTTCCCCCACCTTCTGCTGCCAGACATTACGTTGACACTCACGTCATATACTACTTATAATTAGCGCGCACCACAATAAGTAAACCACCCAAAGAGTTCTAGCCTTTCATTTTGTGACAGTTATCTCGAAACAGTAGTGTTTGACTTTCATTAATTTTCGGTCAAACTGCTGAGCCTCATTTCATCGTGATATATAGTCCCACTCACTAAACTTGACTATGCAGTGCAATCAGATAATGATAAATTGATATTGTGAAATATGTACAACACAATAGAATGATCCTTTTGTGAAACTGTTTTTGTTCATGATTATCTTCCGTCGGAATCTGAACTAATGATCAGGAGAGAGACAGTTGAACGTGTCTCCATTTTCACCTATCATAGGAGTCTTATCTTTAACCGGTACTTGTAGTTTGAATTAAGTGGCCTAGTTACGTTTGCAATTACCCGGATACATTTATTTCTCATTTTCTCTGAAATTCTCATCCTTCTGTAATAATCAGAAACACTTTTCCCTTTTTTGTTTCAGTTTCACAGCAATCACATATCAAGTGAATTTAGATTTTGGCAAATATTTACTTCGATAAGAATTCACTTCTGTGTAACTGCTTTTGTTCAGTTTTTCCATAGTAATAGTATGCTAAAGACGCATTGTGAGATTGAATTATTGGCCGTCTAATTTCACTTGTCATCTACATTTCAAAACATTCTGATTGCGGAACACATCTGGATCTGATACACTGAAGCATATCCACTGCACATGACTTATAAGCTACATTGTTAGTAGTATCAACCAAAATTGTTCGAATTGAACAATATTTCTATACAATGAACTTAACTACCAACCTGATGAATAAAACATCCGTAACACTTTAACTCCTTAAGACAAGAGAAAACACCATACGTTGATGATAGTATTTTGGGTGACAGAAAAAATTAAGTTGTATACATTGACTCATTCCACAATCTTGGTATAAATCTCTTAGAAAATCAAACCAGATCTTCAACTAACTATTGAAAACAAATAAGACAGGCTCCATTCTCCATTGCAGCTAAATCATTGTACTTGATCATCATTAGGTAACATCTTAACAAATTGGTGAACAAAGTAGTTATCACTAAAATTCAATCATTATCGTTATCACAACAATAATTAAACAGCATTTCATGATCAATCTCCTTTACAAACATACAAATACACAACATCAGTTCATCAATATCAATCAATGGCTTATTCACTGACGACGATTTCTGACTTCATGTTTCATTTAAATCCTCATGATATAATGATCAGCGAATTTGTTTTCTTTCAAAATGTGTCTCTTTATTATCATTACGCGGTTGTGAAGATTGTTAAGTTACACATTTTTTGAAACCATGAACCGATCAATGTTAGACCACCATTAGAAACCTAGAAGCACTGGATGATGGCCGTTTCGTCCTGGTATGAGACTCCTCCAAGTTCTAGTGGGAAGACGTGACCAGTGAAGTTCAACCTGTTCGGGTGTAGACAGTAACTACCGAAGACTGTCTATGAGGTTGCGCAACTCCGTGAATCTGATCAAGTTAGACATTAACACCGTTAGATACCGGCTCAGTGGTCTGTCGGTTAGGGCGTTCGAGCACAATACCGGAAGTCCTGGATTCGAGTCCTGCGCGGGGTGCAGGAGTCGTGGATGCGCACTGCTGAGGCATCCCATACCAGGACGAAACGGCCGTCAGTGCTTCTAGGTTTCTAATGGTGGTCTAACATCGATCGGTTCATGGTTTCAAAATACTTTATTATCAAGCACTAGTACACAATCACACAACTCACAAATGCACACTGATTCACACGTAGTAGATGCTCTTTAGACTGATTAAACATAATGTTAAGTGTTTTATGGAACATCGACCAAGTCATGTGAACATCTCAGTGTTCATTACATTACCAGTGATTTGTCAATGTACAAAGTAAATTATCTAGTTGAATCAACATATTCTTTCTAGTCACTCTTTACTGTTTAGTCAACATAACAAACATGTTATAGATTGTCTCAAAATAGCTTGTTTACAGTAGTGGATGAATGCATTATTGTATACTAATCCCAAGCTTTTCGTCAGTAATAATTATTTTAATCAGAACTCATGTTGTAACAAAAATTTCAGATTAAAAATTTTTATTATACTAAATTTCATTTATTTACATAATTCATTTACAACTTGCTCATATTTTCATTAAAAGATTTTATACTACTTAATAATGCTTAGTAGCATATCATAATTAATATAATTTTCATAAAATATATCACACAAACCGAATAAATAATCATTGTTGAATTATTCTTATCACTATATCTAAGTAGAAAAATCAGTCTGATCATCAAAATCATTTTACACAATTAATCTCAATAAATTGAAGTGTTTTTTTTCAGCGTTTCAATTACATTATAAATATTTTTACTTGGTATACCATTATATAAATTAACTATCATAATTACTAATCATAATTAGTCTTATTTACTACTTCATGGACATAATAACATCGATATACAACAACTTTCTACATTATCGGTTACTCAATTTAATGTTTGATCAATTGAATACATTGAATAATGATCAATGTTCAATGGATTTTGAAGTATCACATCACTATTATTATTAGTAGTATTATTATTATTATTGTTTAAATGTTGTATTTTTGCAAATGAATTTTGTAAATTATTATGTACATGAGAATAATTCATTGTTTTATTGATAATTGAATATTGTTGTTCAATATTATTATTACTATTATTTTGATTTAATTGATTTGTTTTATTAAAATGAATTGACTTCAATGAATTCAAACAATCATTAGTATTGAATATTGTTGATGTTATTTTATTCAATGATGATGATGACTCATGAGGAGTATAATTTAAATGATTCAATTGTCGACCTTGATATTCAGGCGCCGCATTCAAATTAAAATTAATATTTTTATGTGCAGTATCAGTTTGTTCATCAGTCACATCACCATCATCAACGTCATCATCATCAGCATCATCATCATCGCCGCCGCTTAAACTTTCCTCATACAAACTTTCATGATTGATTGATGAATAATTCTGTGATTCTGATAGAGTTTTATTGATTTGCTGTGTAGACCATAACAATGTGTTATTATTATTATTATTATTACTAATAGTAACGTTAGTAAGTGAATTTTTATTTAAAACATCAGTTTGTGTTGAATAACATGTCATAAAATTCGGAATTAATGCATAATTATTATCTAGTGAATAATTTGTCCAAGGATATATTGATTTATTATTTAATTCCGTAATATTAACAGGATTATGTTCAATGGTTGTAGTTAAATTGAATATTGAAGGTTGTTTTAAAAGTGTTACCGGTTTATTTGAATTTACAGCATGCGATGAAGCAGAAGAATAGGTCACATTGTTAGCTAATTCTTGTGTTGTAAGATTTAAAACAAATTTCTCATAATCATTTCTATTACAAGTAGATATCATCAATTGATTTGATGATTGAACATCATTGTTAGCATTGGACACTGAATGTATTATTGGTGAATAGTTTAAATGATGATCATGTTTGTTGTAAACATTTAACATTTCTTGTATATCATAAGGATTAGTTGAAATTGATTGGCTGTAACAATTTCCATTTGATTCAATATTCAATGGACATTTAACGCTTGTTTGTTGCATCAACTTTAATTCGTCTACAATGAATTGATTCATTTTTGAATGATCCGCAATTAGTTTACTATTGTGTTCAGTATTCAATATTGTAGAAATATGAGGATTCAATGGAAACATATTTCGAGTATCATGATAATGACGGTATGGTTTGTCATTGTGATATTGTTGTGATGAATAATTTCTTCCAGATTGTAAATCTATTATTCCATTGTATGATTCTCTAGAAAATTTTAAGAAAATGGTATTTTTTATTTATACTACTGACAATTTATATCAATAGCATGAAATTTGTGCTGAAATATTTCAACTGCATGCAACATACCCATATATTATTATTATTATTATTATTATTATTATTATTATTATTATTATTATTGTAATGGTAATGATAAGATTAATAATAAGTTTGATAGTAAAATCAATACCAAAAGGGAATACCAATAAAAACCTGAAATTATTTTTCATTTCGTTTCGAATTCTTACTGATTTCAAAACACTTTAATTGAATACGTCTGAAAATAATTTTAGTTAAGGTTTTCAAAAATTGTTCATTTTCAAAGTAAGATTGACAATCTTTCCAACCCTATACTGATAATTGCCATCTACTCACTTATGACTGGATTTGAGACGGAACTCTCGGAGTTCTAGTTAGAAAAACGGTCATCAACGTACCTAAATCATATGCTGTGTGAAATAGTTACGCTTCAAAGATAATAGAAAATGATCGTAGACTATTTTGGTTTGACATCAATACTTTTGGATGCCGACTCAGTATTCTAGAGGTTAAATTTCCTAATATGAGGAAACAAAGCTTCACGTTTTGATTCCCAGATGTAAGTTTATGAAAGCCAATAACTGGGACGAAACATGCCTATAGTCCTTCTAGGTTTTCGATACTACTTTTCATCATTAATCGGTGCTCACTAGTCACTGACTAGCTTCGTGAGGAAATTCTCGGAGTTCTAGTGAGAAGACGTGACGAGTGGAGTTCAACCCTGTTCAGGTGTATGCAGTAACTACCAAAGACAAATGTGTGAGGTCATGCAATATCCCTAGACCAATCAGAGTTAGACATTAACACCATTGAATGCCGGCCCAGTGGTCCCCAGGTTAGGCGTTCACGCACAGAACCGAAGGTCACGGGTTCAAATCGTGCGAGTTGCAGGAGTCGTGGATGCGCACTGCTGATGGGTTTCATAACAAGACAAAACGGCCGTCTTTCAGTCCTTCCAGGTTTCTAATGGTTTGGTCTAACAATGATTGGTTGATTTCAAAAATGCGTAAAAAACAGTGATCTCCATAATTCTAATTAAAATTATATACAATCATAGACAGTGTTATTTTGTTTTAATAATAAATATGGAGTAAGTCAATTGTCAATATAACTTAATTTTGTTATCGATGGGCAAAGTGAATTTTACACAGATGCGAAAGTGCAGATCGACAAAGCAAGGGTAGGATTTCTACAATTCAAAATGACTGTCACTCAGCTAGTACTAGAGTCAGAATTTTCAATAAAAATGTCATGACAGTTCTACTATATGATGCGGAAACTTGGCCATCATCCATAAGATGCAAGTGATTTTCAACAGCTGTCTACGCAAGATATTCCGCATCCGCTGACCAGACACTAGCATAAACAACCTATTGTGGGAGAGAACAAGCCAGATTTCAGTAGAAGAAAAAGTCAGGAAGAAGCCCTGGAAAAGGATCGGACACATATACATACTGAGGAAAGCACGCAACTGAGTCATGAGACATGGCCTCAGTGGGAACCTCCAGGTCAAAGGAAAAAACTAAAAACTAAAAAATACCTTACGCCAAGAAACGGAGACAGGAATGAGGAGAATGGACAAGAAGTGGACAGAACTTGACAACAAGGCCCGAGACAGAGTAGGTTGGAGATTGCTGGTTGGCGGCCTATGCTCTGTTGAGTAATAAGAGACGTAAATAAGTAAGTAAAAGATATAGAGCGATCTCATTCATTTGTCTTTAGTAATTACTGATTAAACCTGACAAACTTGAATTCAATCGGTCACGGCTTCTCACTAGAAGTCTGAGAATTCCCTCATGAAACTAGTCACCAGTCAGCAAGTGTAGGCAGTAACTACTTAAGACAAATGAGTGGAGTTGCGCAAAATCCCTAAATACCATTTAATGCCAACCGGCTAACCAATCCAAAGGTTAGGCTTTCGCGAGCTAGACCGAAAGTCATTCATTCGATTACTGTGAGTTGTAGATTGCTTGTCGATTGCTCCTGACTCCTAATGCTAGTCTCACCAATAACTAACTGATTCATAATTTCACTCACAGACAACAAGTTTCATCACTCTCTAATGCAAAAAAATTGTGTAAATATTTTTTTTTGTTAAATTCAAAATCGAAATAATTGACATCCTGTCATTCATTAGTAGTTGTACATCGGTAAAAAATACAGTACAATTTGTGAGAAATATATATATATATATATCCATTGTTTATCTTGAGTAAACATTTCAAATAAATAAATATATCAGTCAATATTAATAATTCAATGATCAATTTTTTAAAACAAGCAACCAAAAAAAACAGACGAATGAACAAAATAAATAATTGAAGTGAATTGTCAATGTTGATTTGGATTTGTGCGCTAATTTTAAATCGGGGTTTTACTTTTCTCATTCTTTTAACTTATTTAAAGTTAGTTTTATTTGTTTAATGTAAAAATCTTGTTGAAACTGGTTTTAATTAGTCTTATTTTTTAAAGAAAAATTCAAAAGTAGAGAGAAATAAACAGGTAGAGAAAACAGGTAAAGAGAAAAGCGTGTATTTGCTTAATTTGTTCAATTAAATTCAACTCAGCTTGACAGTTTGTTTAAATTAAGATTAAACGGTTAGATAGATAGATAGATAGATAGATAGATAGATAGATAGATAGATAGATAGATAGATAGATAGATAGATAGATAGATAGATAGATAGATAGATAGATAGATAGATAGATAGATAGATAGATAGATAGATAGATAGATAGATAGATAGATAGATAGATAGATAGATAGATAGATAGATAGATAGATAGATAGATAGATAGATAGATAGATAGATAGATAGATAGATAGATAGATAGATAGATAGATAGATAGATAGATAGATAGATAGATAGATAGATAGATAGATAGATAGATAGATAGATAGATAGATAGATAGATAGCTAGATAGATAGATAGATAGATAGATAGATAGATAGATAGATAGATAGATAGATAGATAGATAGATAGATAGATAGATAGATAGATAGATAGATAGATAGATAGATAGATAGATAGATAGATAGATAGATAGATAGATAGATAGATAGATAGATAGATAGATAGATAGATAGATAGATAGATAGATAGATAGATAGATAGATAGATAGATAGATAGATAGATAGATAGATAGATAGATAGATAGATAGATAGATAGATAGATAGATAGATAGATAGATAGATAGATAGATAGATAGACAGATAGATAGATAGATAGATATAATTACTTTTTCTAGTTGGCGTTTATTATCCAACTGCGTCACAAGACAAGCCCTCCCCTGGAATTCTCAAGGCCAACGGAAACGATGAAGACCAAGGAACACATTACGCTGAGAAATGGTGATAGGGTTGATAACAATGAGAAACAACTGGACAGAGATCTATAAAGGAAGGCCTAGGATAGTCGGTGGCCTATGCTTCATCGGTGTGGTAACAGAGTGCATCCACTACTCCTACTACTCGCAGGATTCGGACCCAGGACCTTCAATCTTGCGAGTGTTAATATCTCTAACTCTGACCGATCCAAGGTTTTCGTGCAACCTCACCCATTTATCTTCGGTTGTTACTTCCTAAACCCAACGCGGTTGAATTCCACTAGTCAAGACACCGAGAATCTGCTCACGAAGCTTAGTAGTCACTAATGAGCACATTGTATGCGTTTTCATGATTATATTCTGCAAAACTACACAGTTACATAAAGTTAATGCACTCATAAGCACACGCACACACCCACACAATATATGCACCTCTCTATAAAAGCATGTCCACAATCGTAAATCAACAACACATACACAAACAGACACATTCATTAGTTACCATAGTGATGAACAGATCACCAATGCTCAACTTCTCTTTTCCATCTAGAAATTAACATAGTTTCTTATCTATTTGCTTTCCTCTATAAGTTCAGTTTGGTTTTAAAGCATAAACTGTTTTTATCTAATTACACCTCCAGTAAGTTATTAATGTACATGTCTCTATATGTATATATTTATATAAGGATTACGTAATTGTGTGTTATGTAATCATTAATGGGTTTCGCTTCTTAATCTCTAACTCTTCTTTGCTTTTTCATGCTCACCATCCTCTCTCTGTGTGTGTGTGTGTGTGTGTCTATTTCATTGTCCATGACCGGAGAGATGAGGGTTGGTGGACTTGGGAATCGGTTGTTCATTTCATTTGTCTCAAGAAACACTGAAGTTTGCTTATGGTTGAAAAAAAAAAACTGGGAGTTTGTTAAATAATTAAGAATATGAGTTAACAGTATAATGTATGTATGTTAAGACATTAGAAAACATTAGTAAACAAGGCATTCGTTCGTTTTTTTTGTAAATTCACACTCATTATGCGTTTGAACTAGCTTCTGCTTAATTATTGTGTGTTGATATGCTCAATTTTCATTTTGATTTTGATTTGATTTGATTTAAAAATTTTCTTAACTAATAATTATTATTATTATTCAAGTAAATAAAAACGCATTGTTAAGAGGAAAATTTGTGCTTAGTAAATATTGTTCAATGTTCAATGTTAATGTTGAAAATTCATGGATTTTTACGAAAAAAAAGGATGAATGAAGCAAGAAATTCTACTTATGCATGAAAATAAATAATGTTCAACTCTATTTGATTTTCAATTCAATATTTGTTTAACTGTATTGTTGTTAATTTGTTGTTAATTGAATATTGAACAAGTTTCAATAATAATGGTGTAGTGAAGGAGAACACAGGTGAGGGCAACCGAATTGTATTTAACGAAAATTACAGAGTTACTCAGTAAAATAGGAAAACCATATCGTAAATCGTTCATTTGCAAAATATCAGTTCAT